GAGCTGTCTGTCAAATGATACAGAAGTACTATACTTTTTTGGAAATAACAGGGAAAACAATTCTATATTTTCAGTTTATCAATGTAACCCAGGTATATTATTTTTGGAAAAAAAGTAGCTTAATGTGAAATACAGAATAAAGATAATAGAGGAATGAGAGAAAAATAAAATTATGGAGTGTTTCACTTAATCAAACACTTCAAAGAGTAATTGCCTTTTAATAGAAAATACAAATATGATTGACATAAAAATATAGGTGAAAATATGTAATTTTTATCAAATGCAAGTTGAAACCTCTAAAAATTACATATATGAACCAATTTACTTATCTACCAAATTTTTTTCTTTTGCCCTAAATTTTCCTCATATTTTGTTTATATGTAGCTATAACTATTACTCAACCACTATGACTTTAATTAGTTTACAAAAACAATCTAATATTTTTGCAACATGAAGGAGGAAATTAATAATTTTGTACTGTTTGGGTACATTGTACGTAAGTCATTTACACTTTATGTGACTGAACTCTGTCACACAGTTATTCCGTTTCTCTGACAATTATAAATTGCCTTCTCAAGCTCAAAATTTTTGTGGTACAGTCTTCCATCTTATATATTCTAGTTTTACTATATGGTAACTATTATGTCTTAAATTGTATCAGCCCAAAATTCATATGTAGAAGTCCTTACAATCGCCCAGTATTTCACGAGGTGATCTTATTTAGAGATAGGGTCTTTACAAAGGTGATTTAACTACAGTGAGTTCATGGGGTGGGGTGAACATAACATGTCTTGATATAAAGGAGGAATTTGCCCACAAACCCTTGTTTGATATGAAGATGAAGGCAAAGATGGGGGGGAAGCTTCCACCAGCTACAGAATGTCAAAGATGAGCAGTAAACCACCAGAAGCTAAAGGGTATTTACCCTAAAGATACAAACGTACTGATCTGAAGGGGCACGTGCACCCGAATGTTTATAGCAGCAATGTCTACAATAGCCAAACTATGGAAAGAACCTAGATGTCCATCAACAGATGAATGGATAAAGAAGATGAGGTATATATCTACAATGGAATACAATGCAGCCATCAAAAGAGATGAAATCTTGCCATTTGTGATGACATGGATGGAACTAGAGGGTATTATGCTGAGCGAAATTAGTTAATCAGAGAAAGACAATTATCATATGATCTCCCTGATATGAGGAATTTGAGGGGCTTTTGGGGGTCGGAAAGGAAAAAATGAAACAAGATGGGATCGGGAGAGAGACAAACCATAAGAGACCTTTAATCTCACAAAACAAACTGAGGCTTGCCAGGGGGAGTGGGGGTAGGGAGAGGGTGGTTGGGTTATGGACATTGGGATGGTATGTGCTACAGTGACTGCTGTGAAGTGTGTGAACCTGATGATTCACAGACCTGTACCCCTGGGGCTAATAATACATTATATGTTAATAAAAAATTAAAAAAAAATTAAAAATGGGTGTGTTCTGTAGGTGAAGTATTGTAATGGAAAGTTCATCTGAACATGGAATGTATTTACTCTGCATTCAAGAAATTCACCCTTTAAAAAGTTTAAAATGATTTCAATACAATATAGTGGGGCTATTATTAAAAGTATGCTCAAGCAGATTAAGCATAGAAAAAAGAGCGACTGACTTTATTTAGGGTGGGATCATGAAAGTAAAGGCTTAATGAAGATAGAAACAGTAACCTTTTAAAGGACAAATTATATTCTTTGAGTGAATAAAAGTGTAATTGGCATTTCAGATAGAGTAACATGGACTTTAGAGGCAAGAAACATGTTTAGAGGACTCCAAGTAATTTGATAAGGCCACAGAATGAATTGTGTTCAGGGGATGGGACTGGCAAATCAACAGGTTGTGGTGAGAATCCCCTTGTGTAAAAAGTCATGAAAGGTATATACTGGGGGTGTTATAAATCCTAATGGAGGACTAGGGGATAGTTGTGGAATGAAAAAGACCAGAGTAGAGGCACCAGTAATGGCTGTTGGAATTATGATCCTTGGGTATGTCCACTTGGGGGCACCAGGCTCACAGACTGCAATGTGCCCTATGGCAATTTGTGTGGGGAGAGACATGGAGGTCCTGCATGATGGTAAGGATGCACTGAGAAATATTAGGAAATAAAATAAAATAAAAATAAAAAGGAGAATTATTGGATGGGGGTAAGGTAGGAGGAGTCGTCTAAATGATTTTTGGTGTTTTGCCTTAATTGATAAAACTAGTCTGGATAAGACCAAAAGAGTTTTGATTAGTCTAAGGAAGACAAATATATTGTGTTAGTTTCTTTTTCCCCCAATATTCACAAGTTAATATTTAAATGGCTATGTTAAAAATAGCAGCATTGTGTTCAAACTGATTTTGAATTTAAATACTGTTCCATTTGTAAAAGAATCCCGGCATATGGTGCGCAACTGTTGGCTCTAAAATGTTTGCACTATTGGCCCTCATCTCCTCCTAAAATGTTGGACTGTTTAACTGTTCAGAACAAAGGAAAATGGAGTTTAGTAGTCCAGTCAACAAATTTCTGGTTTTAAATATTGCTTAAATCAAAGTTAATTGATTTCATATAAAGATCCATTCCGTATCTAACCAATTGTCCACAACTGGTGAAAATTAAGTTGCTGACTTTTTTTTTTACCATTTCATTCAGTTAATCTATTCTAAGTTTTTTTTTTTTATTCAGTATGTAAATAAAAGGAATAGTTTAATAGATGGCAACCTAGTTACAAATAAATGCCAGTGCAATGGCCAAGAGCTTAAAAATTTCATATACACTAAATCAGTGAAACTGGATTGTCTGGCCACAATTTTGTGAAGGCATTGTTCATAAGTATTCAGATTAGAACTGAACCTCCTGTATATGAGTGTTTAAATAATTTTGCAGAGAGGAAAAAGAAAGAGAAAACAACATGCAGGTAGAACTAAGTCTAACACAAAACTGAAGATTGTAAATAGATAAAAATAAAAACATGAAGTTGTCCCGATGGCAAATACATTGACAAAAAGTCTGGTTCTTCTCTCATTCATGAGAAACAATTTAGAAAGTGTGGTTTTTGAAAAGTTGGTGGGCTGGTGAGATTGAGTGCTACACTTGGAACAGTTTCTGACCACGGTGCCAGATGAGAAAATGGCCCGGGGTTTCAGGAACCTATCCAGTTTGGTGGTTAATATTTTCCAAACTTAACATGAAATACTTTACTTAGTCTTATTTTTACTGGATCAGATCTGAATGAGTTTACTTTGTTGTATCATTCAGTTAGTTTGAGCCTTGTTGGTATGGCACATAAACAAAATATTTCTTTTCCTTGAATAGAAAAGCGATTAAAAGCATAGAACTTTAATTTGAAAAACAGCCCCACTGCTGTTACTCCTTCTTACCTTCCCCTCCTTGTTAGGTTCCATTATAAAAGTACACCTACTTTTTCCAGCTTGGAATTTAGCCTAAGACTATCATTCTTTACATGAAATAACATCCATAACTGTCACCTGGACTCTTTATTAGAATATATTCTTAGTTTACAGTGTCAAAGAAAACATTTATAGTCATGTTAGGATTTAAATTGCATTTAAACTGCAGTTGACACTAAACAACATAAACATCAAATACAAAGTTTTTTCCTAAAGACTTAAATATAATTCACATCTTTGTCTTTCTAAGTATCCTTAAAGTTTACCTCCCTTAATATTCTTGTTACATGAGATATTTTCATAACTTCTTGACCAAGACAGAAAGGAGAATTTTAAAATATTGACAAAAGTGTTTTGTTTTTTTTAAGGCCTAGATGCATGAAAGGCAATATTTCACGTATCTAAAGCTTAATGCCTTTCAACTTGCTTCTTCTTAACAGCTCTGTTTTGTTTTTAAGTTTTTATGAGGCTGAACCAAATGAATAGTTAGCACTATATGTATTGTCCTCCTGCTAAGTGAGGGCTGACTACACATTTTTTTTCATTCATGACAAAGCAAATAAATGAAGACTCAACTCATGCCTCCATTTAATGTCTTCCCACACTTTGATATGCCAATAAAACATTTCAATAATTTTTTAAAACTCATTATATAACAAAAATATTCAATCAGTATTTTTGTCTTTGTTGATGAATTTGAAGTTCACTTTTTCTGTTATTTTTTTGTCAGGCCAAGAAATCAGACATAATTACTAAAATTTGTAGTTTTACAGATAACGCAACCATTCTACTACTCTGTGGCCTACAGACATATTGCAACTCCAAGAGCATGTGGTTGACAATGTTGTATAGCAGCTGGTACAGAAGAAACCTGGCAGAGCACATCTCAGAGAATAAAACAAGACTTCACTAGTTGCCATTATCAGCTTTCTTGCCTTGAATATAAATTGTTACCAGAGCTGTCTTGTTAGCAACTGTCTCTATTATAATATTATGAATGTCTATATTTTTGAAATAATAAAAGCAAAGTTTCCAAAAATATTTACATATCCTCATTATATTTGAATAAATAAATGATCCTTCCATTTGGCATAGTCTCCCATTTAACCATACATACTCTATAGGAAGTACTATCAAACCATTTAATCACAGTGTTGAAACTTCTGGAAAAAAATAAAATCACAGAATTTATTTAATATCAACCACTCAATGTTTAACTTAATTCTGATGGATTTTCATCTTCAAATAAATTCGTATTTAAATTGACATATTTTAGTTATTCAGAGATATATGCAAAAATCTATTTGTTGAGTTGAAAAATCAGATATATTAGAAGAATGCTTTTAAAAAGAGGACTCGGGCGCCTGGGTGGCTCAGGCGGTTGAGCCTCTGCCTTTGGCTCAGGTCATGATCTCAGGGTCCTGGGATCAAGCCCCACATCAGGCTCTCTCCTCAGCGGGGAGCCTGCTTCCACCCTCTCTCTCTGCCTGCCTCTCTGCCTACTTGTGATTTCTCTGTCAAATAAATAAATAAAATCTTAAAAAAAAAAAAGAGGACTCTAACTAATACCATATTGGTACTGCTATTTATATCACATAATTTATGTGTTGCATTATGAACATGATAAAATAAATACCTCAATTAGCAATAATCATGCCTCAGATGAACCTCATTGGCTACGATACTGTCACTGCGCAAAGCTTAAAAATAAATATATCATTTTATACTTCAGTAACTTTATCAGATGTTGAGTAGTCTCTAATTTTTAAATATTAAATTAATTCCCTAGGAATTCTATTAAAATTATTTGCCACTGTTAATCTGTTTTGGTTAATCTGCTTTTTGGCAAGACTTGCAGTATCAGAAGTTTTTGAGGTTATCCATCCTTTGTCCAGCTTTTGCTAAACTGGTTACATCCAGAGAAATCTCTTTACTTCTATCGAAGGTTGTGTACTATTGCATTTTAAAATTATGTGTGTATTTACTTCTATCACTCATTAAATGAAAAGGTAATTTTATAGGAAAGACCATAACCTTCTTTTTCTCTCTCCAGTCTCTCTCCAGTCCCTAGCATGGTAGGCATTAAATAAGTATTGTTTTATTAAAATACTGCTTGCCTCCAAAAGTGCATTCTTTCCCTTCATAACCTCCTCTAATGGCTGCAAAATCAACATGAACTATTCCACATGTGAAATCATAAACATATACACTTTTCAGACTTCACCTCTTATTCTTCCTCTATCAGTAATTTCTAAATGTTGGTGGTCTTTTATCAAGATACTTATTAACCCTAAAACTCCTTAATTTATCTATAACTCCTTTTATTTTTGTCTCTCTCTTTATCCAGATTGGAAGACTGCCATTAGCATATTCATTATTATTTTCCCAGTATCATTCACCACTTGATCACTGATCACACATTGATCACTATTATGGTTACAACTATTGCCCATTTTCCTTGAATCTTATACCAAACAATTACTTGGCCTTTCCTCTTACTTCACAAAAAAAATTAAAGCTGCCACAAAGAGATTCTATAAGTACCCGCCTCTAAACCTCAAGTCTTTTTCATATTTTTCTTTATTATAAAGGAAAACTATTACTGTAGCTAATAATAAACTATATACTAATATACTAATATAGTACATAAATCTTTGGGTACTTTATTAATTATTTCTTACGTCAATCTCTTAATCAAAAACAATTGATAGTTTTCTTGACTCTGAAATGCTTATATGCTAGATAACAGATATCAAATGCAACATTTCAATATAACTGTTATTAATCAAGTCAATAATAGGGTGCCTGGGTGGTTCAGTGGGTTAAGCCTCTGCCTTCGGCTCAGGTCATGATCTCAGATTCCTGGGATCGAGCCCTGCATCGGGCTCTCTGCTCAGCAGGGAGTCTGCTTCCTTTCCTCTCTCTCTGCCTGCCTCTCTGCCTACCTGTGATTTCTGCCTGTCAAATAAATAAATAAAATCTTAAAAAAAAAGATCAAGTCAATAATATTTACTGAATTCATGTTAGTTGTCAAATACTGTTTTGTTATAGGGAATACAGCAAAGCCAACACAAACCCTTTTCCCTTTACATTCTCATGGGAGGAGAAAAATCAATAAATAAAATAAAATAAAATAAAGTAAAGATAAAAATGAGTAGAATGTATACCTTATCAAAAGTCAGTAAGTACTCAGGAGAAAAACAGTAAGGCAGAAAAGTGAATAGATAGTCCAGACATGAAGTTAGTGCAGTTTTGAATAGAGTTGTGCCTTTAAGTCACACCAGAAAATGGTAGTATTTGTGACAAATTCTAAAGATGGTAAAGAAGAGAGTCAATAAAGGTATTTGGAAGGTGTGTTTCCTAGACACATGGAAGGGCAAATGAAAAGCCCTGAAGCAGGAGAAGGGCACCTGGGTGGGTAAGTCAGTTAAGTGTCAGACTCTTGATTTTGGCTCAGGTCATGATCATGGTTAGGTGACTGTGTGCCAGTGATGGGCTCAATGGGGAGTCTGCTTGAGATTCTCTCCCTCTCCCTCTGGTACTCTTACATGCACTCTTTTTCTTTCTAAAATAAATAAATAAATCTTAAAAGAAAAGAAAAGCCCTGAAGGAGGAGAAAGTCTGGCATGTCTCAAGAAATGGCAAAGGGGACTGTGTAACTAAAGCAGAAAGTGAGAGGTATCACGTGAGAAGAGTTAGATCAGAAGGGGAACTGGACTCCACTGCAGGAGAGGAGTGATACATTTTGAATCAGGTTTTAAAAGAACAACTCTGTTTACTGGGTTGAGAAAAGACTGAAACGAACAGGGAGAGAAGCAGCTAGTGAGCCTCACAGCTACCTAAGTCGTCCATGGAAGGACAACAATGGCTTTCATCAGGAGAGCAGTGGTGGAGGCAGCGAGATGTTGCTGAGGTCTGGAATTCTTCTAAAGATATAACTAACATTGATGTGTGATGTAAGGGAAAGAGGATTCAAGGATGATCCTAAGATTGTTAACACATAGAATTATCACTTACTTTGTGTGGGAAACCGAGGAGCAGGTCCTGGGAGAAGTTTAGGTTTTGGCTTGTAATTAGATGCCTATGCATTATCCAAGCGAAAGTAAAAGTATCAAATGGGAAGTTTAAGATATGACACTGGAGGTCAGAGGATTATCCTGAAGTCCAATTGTGATGTGAAAAAAGAGCATGAAACTGGTGAATTTAATTTGTACAGATAATTAGGGTAGTTAGTCTTCCTGGAGGAAATGGTTTTGAAGCTAAAGCCTAAATAATAGCTAGGATTAATTAAATGAAGAACTTGGGGATGGCTGAGATAATTCTAGGCAGAAGGAATTAATGGGAACATATAATAACCTGACATAAAAAGAGACTGCAGCAATTGAGGAATTAAACATGGCTGAAGAATTGAGAACTGACTTTAGAGAATTGTGATATGAGAAAGGAAATGTATTAACTCATACACTAACACAAATTTTGCTCTTCATCTTTAGACTAATGAGAAACCTTGAAGAGTTTTACACGAGCTCACATATACTTCAGATTTGCATGTTATAAAGGTGAACCTGCTTCCATTTTGGAAAACTGATCTGAGAAAATAAGACTAGAAGAAATGCCAAACAACAACAAAAAATACTAGATATAAAAAGCTACTTAAAAAGCTTAAACAGGAAGCTAAGAGATAATAAAGGTAAATAAAGGTAGATATTACTAATATGGAGAAAGTGAACAAGACGGAGAAATTTTTGGACTTTTTTGTTTGTTTGTTTGTTTGTTTGTTGTAGTACCAGTAAATTTGTGAATTGGTTTGGCAGTGAAGGAAAAGGAAGAAAGGCCAATTCCAAGTTATTGTACCTGGCAACTACTTAAATGTCGGTTCTATTTATTCAGCTGGCACATACTTTTGTTAGCTGGGAAGATGAGTTCATTGCTGGACAGGCTGTCTTCTAAGAGCATGTTAAGTACCTGTATACCTAGTCTTGAGATCAAAAGAGTTGTTTAGGAAGTTGTACAAGGCAAATTTATGAACAGCTAGACATATAAATGACATTTCAAAGTATGAGAGAAAATTTAAAGTGAGGAAAGAAGATGGCCTAAAATAGAAGCCTGAGAAAGTCCAATATTAAATGGCATATAGAGAAAACAGTGTGCAAAGGAGTATTAAGAAAGAACATCTCACTAAAAGGAAAGAAACACAAGGAAGCTTGGTGGTAGAGAAGCCAGTACTGATTAAAGGCCAGGTTACATAAATACTAAAAGGGACCTTGGCACTTAGGTACAAGGAGGCCACAGGTTATTTTGGTAAATGCAGCTCTCGTCAGAGTGGTGGACATGAAATGACAAGTAGGTGAGGACATGGGAAAGTGAATAGAGTTGTTGTCAAGAAATCTGCCTAAAAAAAAAAAAAAAAAAAAAAGTTTGCCTGTGTTACAGGCAGGAGCTACAGGGTGTTAGCTAAAAGATATGATGTGAAGCCAGTGGGCCTAATTTTTAGTATGGAAAATAACTGAACATAACTAAATGCTGATGATAAGACAGTAGATGGGGGAGAAGTGAAGATAGAGGAGAAAAAGGTCATCTTTGGTAACTAATGAAGTTTGAGAAGAAAAGAAGACATGAATGGACTCTAGGTACCCTTGTTAGAAGGAGAAACCATGTTATAATGGAGGGGTAGGTATAACTAGATTTGTAGATTTTGTGGTGGGAAGCAATGAATACTCATGTCTCTATATGGGAGGAGGTAAGATCAACAGCTAAGAGAGGAAATTATTATTGGAAGGTTGTTTAGGCTTGACATAGCTGGAGAACTTCTTAAATAGTAATTGAATGGAAGTGAGAGAGCTAATTAAATAAATATTCTAGGATTGCTGTGCATGTTGAGATGGTAAGCATGGATTTATCAATCTGTCTGCAGGTTGCTTTGGAAGCTGTATCGTATTTCATGTTATGTTAGGCTCCGTCTAAACAAAAACTGTACAATGTCAGCAACTCAATCTATTTCCTATGGAATATGACAGTAAATTGTGCTGAAATTTTCTACCAGAAACCCAAATTTCTAAGGGGTGCCTGGGTGGATCAGTTGGTTAAACATCTGACTTGAGCTCAGATCATGATCTCAGGGTCCTGGAATGGAGCCCTGTGTCAGGATATCTGCTCAGTGGGGAATCTGCTTATTCCTGTCCTTCCGTCCCTCCCCCTACTTATGCTCTCTCTCTCTCATATAAATAAAATATTTTAAAAAAAGAAACTCAAACTTCTGAGATTATTGTGTCTTAATTAAAAAACAACAAGAACAACAAAACACCATTATGATATATTGTTGGATAATTCAGATTAAAATTTGGGATAAAATAAAGAATTTTCAAGGTATTATTTTGTAATAATTTTACTCAACATCTCTAATTTTCTTTTTGCTAGTTTGGTCATTGGAATTAGAATTTTTATATTTAAGATTAGGAAAGTGATTGTTTTTTATAATGTTTATGAGAAATTGATGTTTTGAATTAAGGAAGCAATTGGTTTTCACTGGTGAAACTTTTTATAACTGGCTTTATGAAGTAATGTTCAGGCAAGTAATGATCATATATTTGCAAAACAAAAAAATACCATATCCTTGATTGTTTATTTCCAATCTTTCATGTTTAAAAGAAATAAGACTATTTGTCTGGTAGGATTTCATCCATAGAAGTTTTACAAAGGTTT